AACCCCCGTGAACAAGCTGATTGCATGGGCGTTTTTTGTTTTTATGGTTTTAACTCTATGTAGCAGTGCGAGATTGTTTCCCTTAGAAAATCTGTCACGAAAGCATACCCCCCCCTTAGGACAGATCGCCTTCATAACGTGCTTAATAATCTAACAAGCCAAAACAAACACAACCCGAGCGAGGACTCGTAGTCAAGGCACGTTCATCATGAAAAGCTAACATGAAATTGGCTCATATTCACATTAAACATGCGCAACAAACAGTTCGCGAAAACTGGTATTGCAGGCAATCCATTCGCTAGGATTTAAACCCGCTTCAAACTTATTAGTATCCAACGATTTTACCTGCTACGTCGTTGGCGGCCTTTAGTAGTATCTATAAGAAAAGCAATCGCAAAGACACAAATCATTGCGTACCGACGGATGAAACTAAGTTCGGAACTTAAAGAATAACTTTCATTCGTGCTATTGCTGTTAGCATTGACATTTGGACAGATGTAATTTATTTTTTTAAATTCTTTTAATGTAATTAATTATATCTTTAAATAATTGATCTTCTGACTGTAATTTTTTGTGCTCAGTATATCTAAACCCTTTCGTAACTAACTGTTTTAATTAATTTACACTCCATTAATTTTAAGAGATTTATATCGATAGATTTCTTTCCAAAAATGTTTTCAAGGATTACATATTTTTTTCTTTAGATTTCAAAACATTTTGTATTTAAAATCTTAATAATAAAATTTTTAAAACAAATATTTCTAGAAATTCCTTCGGCGTATTCATTTATTCCATTTAGTTGAAGTTTCGAGTAGAATACCTTCCTTTCAACATTCATATAATTTTTATATGTCAGTTCGCCATTTCTACGGAGCATAGAGCCACACATACGAGTACAAAACTCAGGCATGCTGAAAGCACAGTTTTAACATTTAAGAATGTAAAAAGAAGAATATAACATTATAATAACGCGCATTTGAAATACGAAGGCAAACAAGAAAGCTGGTTGCAACATTTATATTGTTTCCTGACGAATCAGAAATTGTAATCATTTTTCAATACAAAACAAAATAAAATATTTGATTCTATAACATATAGGCATAAAGGCGTCCTCCGTTACAATTCTTATTTTTTCTTGTTTCTACTAAAATTCGGCTATGTACTATAACAACGTCGGATCCTGTTTGACTTTCATTTGTATAAAGTACCAGAAGGCAAACAGTTGTAAAACGATTTATCTTCTTTCGCAAAATTTTAGTCGGCACACAGATAATACGTATCTGCTTTCTGACAAAGATATTTCACTCTAAGGACTTTTTCCTAAAGTGCTCTTTTCAAAGAGACTTCACACCCTATTAAGACCTTTGTGTCAACTGACAGCCGCCTGCAAAAAGGTAGGGGAAGGAAGACCAGATCACGTCGTCTAAACACGTCTTAAGCAATCTTCGCGAAATTCGGGCTCGTGTATACACGTCTTAAGCATTTTTCGTCGTGCGATTTGAAATTCGTGTAAAGACGTCTTAAGCATTTTAAAGAATTCCAAAAACGTTTAAACACGTCTTAAGCAGTTAAAGGGTTAATATAATATTTTATATTTATTTTTCAGCAGGATTCTGCTGCTTGCCAACACGGCCAAAATATCGAAAGAGTGGTTTCGTACAAAGAGCATTAAATTGTTGTCATAGCCAGGAAACAGTCCTGGCCTCAATCCTATCGAAAATTTGTGGCAGCGTTTGAAAACTCTTGTCCGAATGAGGCGCCCATCAAATAAAAGGGAACTAATTGAGGCTTTCCTGGCATCATGTAATAACGAAAGAAGAGGTTAAAACTCTTTTCAGCTCAGCGTCGATGTGAAGCTGTAATCAAAAATAAAGGGTACCCTACTAAGTACTGATAACTCACTGCAATCATCACTATCTAATGTATATCGATAACTATTATCGTTTAACGTTTTTTGTATTGCAAATAATTGAATTTTGTGTTTTGTATTGAATTCAGTAATAAATTCTCTTTAAAATGATATATACAAGTTTGCATTTTGTGAAACGTAACGTTTTCTATAAGCATACAAAGTTCAAAAACATAAAAATTTTCAAAAGTGTCCACAATTTTGGCCGCCACTATAACTCAAAAACACAGCATAAATTACTCTTAAAATTAAAAAGAATAGAACAGACTTAGAATACTTTACTGTTGCCAGAACCTAACTACTAAAAAATCACGCAATTACAAACACGTCAAAAATGAAATTCAGCACGCATTATTCAAAGATTAAAATAAAATATAAACAAAATAATAACTTACGTTTGTAATTATTTGAAAGCGCAATGGCTAATCACATCGACGGTGCGAATAGCTAACAGGCTATTCACACCACCTATGTTCGCGCATACGCACAATCAGCCCAGGCACCAGCATTTTACGCCGATTTCCGTAAGATAAGCGGTAGTGAGAGAATGATGTTAATAGTTCACCATCAGGAGAATAATTTGAAAGTGATAATTATCAGTTACAAAGACGAGATCAGTCTATATACATGATAATGTTCAGGAAATGATCAGATAAAATAGGGATTTAATGATGGTTCTAATTGCAAGCGAGGACGAGTAATTAGTTGAAAAAATCTTTAAGGTATTGACAAAAAGGCTACAAAAATTACTTAATTCTTTTATTTAACAGAGGAATTTTTATGCAAACTTAGACACTATTCTTATAGCATAGGAATGTCAGAATTTATTATTCAATAAGAAAACTTACTGAAAATGACAATATTCTTATATATTGATCACTTTTTCAGTATCCACACAGGTTTATAGTTTGAAATGCCATATTTCAAAATCAAAGTTATTTATGAAATGAAACCTTACAAAATCTGATAAATCATTTGTGTGTGCAAATTTTTAAATCTAAATCTCTTACATTCAATTATTTCTGTCTTTTAAATTACATCCCATTATTTATTTCAATTTAATTGATTAATGTGTTTGTACTAATATTTCAAAGTTCTTTGAAGCACTTTTTGTGTCCTGAAAATGCCAAGTATTTCCATAAAATAAATAAGCAGGCACACAGAATAATTCATTTAATAGTTGATATAACCGCTTTTGACTTATTTCATGTCTAAATTTTCTACACAGAAATCCTCTGTCTAATTTTTAGTATCTTTTATCGGACGAAATTTTTCAAAGAGGAGTGAATTAAAATCTTGATTGCGCGAAACACATCTTTAAAGCTAAATGTATTCTAAGAAGTGCAAAAAATGTAAACAAGATTTTGTCCCTACCCAAAGCAGATATTTAAACTCTTCAAACCGTTCAGGAAAAGGCTAAACGTTGCGAACATAAAAATCTGCTCTTTTTTATATATACTTTAATAAAAGGAAATGTGTTCCTTCTTTTTTTAAGAAAAGGAACCCATTTTCCTTTCTAAACTTTTGAAAGTCGCCAACGCTTAAAAAATGATTAACTACGCCAAGGTAGAAATCCGCCTGTTTTTAAAGGCCGATGCTATTTGCACCACGGGTGCGACTAGCCGCTTAAGCTATTCGCACCAACATTAACCACGCATGCGCATTGAGTTTGTCAAAGGCGGGTTTCTACCTTGGCGTAGTTAATCATTTTTTTAAGCGTTGGCTCGACTTTCAAAAGTTTAGAAAGGAAAATGGGATTCCTTTTTCTTATAAAAAAAAGGAACACATTTCCTTTATTAAAGTATATATAAAAAAGGGCAGATTTTTATGTTCGCAATGGTTTATCCTTTTCCTGAACGGTTTGAATAGTTTAAATGACCTGATTTGAAGGGGGGGCAAAATCGTGTTGACATTTTTTGTACTTCTTAGAATACATTTAGCTTTAAAGATGTGTTTTGCGCAATCAAGCCTTTAATTCATTCCTCTTTGAAAAATTTCGTCCGATAAAAAAGGTACTAAAAATTAGACAGAGGATTTCTGTGTAGAAAATTTAGACATGAAATAATGTTAAAAGCGATTATATGAACTATTAAATGGAATTATTCTGTATGCCTGCTTTTTATTTTATGGAAATACTTCGGCAGTTTCAGGACACAAAAAGAGCTTCAAAGAACTTTGAAATATTAGTACAAACACATTAATCAATTAAATTGAAATAAATAATGGGATGTAATTTAAAAGACAGAAATAATTTAATGTAAGAGATTTAGATTTAAAAATTTGCACACACAAATGATTTATCAGATTTTGTAAGGTTTTATTTCATAAGTAACTTTGATTTTGAAATATGGCATTTCAAACTATAAACCTGTGTGGATACTGAAAAAGTGATCAATATATAAGAATATTATCATTTTCGGTAAGTTTTCTTATTGAATAATAAATTGTGACATTCCTATGCTATAAGAATAGGGTCTAAGTTTGCATCAAAATTCCTCTGTTAAATAAACGAATTTAAGTAATTTCTGTAGCCTTTTTGTCAATACACTAAAGATTTTTTAACTAATTATTCGTCCTCGCTTGCAATTAGAACCATCATTAAATCCCTATTTTGTCTAATCATTTCCTGAACATTGATTCAATTCATGTATATAGATTGACCTTGTCTTTGTAACTGATAATTATTACTTGCAAATTATTCTCTTGCTGGTGAACTATTAACAACCCTTTAAAATTGCTGAGTTAGGGTTAACAACCTTCGCTCTCACTACCGCCTGCCTTAAACGGAAATCGGCGTAAAATGCTGGTACCTGGGCTGCTTGTGCGCATGCGCAAACGTAGGTGGTGTGAATAGCCTGTTAGCTATTCGCACCGTCGGTGCGATTAGCCATTACGGTTTTTAAAAAAAGATTCACTATACATACATTCTACGTTCGAGTACGTAGAATCCGTTCCATTCGATGTGGTTAAATTGACGGATCTGACAACTCAATGCGCATGCGGGGTTAATGTTGGTGCGAATAGCATCGGCCTATTTGAAAGATACAATTTTTCCACACTCGGTGCGATAGAAAGATTTAACAGGTGCAAAACATCTAATCTCTCTGTGTTTTGATCGATAAAAGTGTGATGATTTGTAAATACTGTTACAATAACATCCTCTGATATTTCAGAAACTGAAATTATGAAGAACATGGCCACAATTTGGGGAACCGATAATGTTGTTGCAGATCACAGAGATTTACAGGTGAAAGTATTGTCTGGGGTATAAATTAAAGTGTGCTTATCATGTAGTTATCAGAAAACGTTAAATTAATTTCTTTTTTATTAGGCGAATACAATGGCTGTGGACAGTTTAGGTCAATATGTTGTCTTAGCCGGGTAAACTATTTGCATATACATATTTGCTTTTTAACTGTAATTATATCTGATTAGGAAAATCATTGATGATTGTTTTTGTTATGTTCGTAGGCGACGACATATGGGCATTGTGCATCTAGATCAACCGAATGTTGTTATACACAAAACCAATAGACATAGCAAATGGGATGTGACAACAGCTGAATGGAGTCCGCATCAAAACGAATGTTTTGCTTTAGCAGTAAGCTCGTATTGTTTCTCTCCCTGCCTTTCGCTGTATCATAATTCTAAAAATTAATTCCATCACTTTAAATATATACATGAAATTAATATGTAAGTAATTACAGTTGTTATTATGTACATCAGCTGTTTTCAATAAAATTAGCGATAATTTATTTTTAAATAAAGTCAAATTGAAATTTATTTACATGTACAGTACCACTGAATAATTTACTCACCTCAGATTTACATATTAAATGTAAAATTTTTCTGTAATTTGTATTTTTATGTGCAGATAAACATTGAGGCAAAGGATTCGGTTAATCTTTGGAATATGGTAACTTGGCGAAAATTTGGCAACCAAACCGTGCTACAGCAACCTGCTAGTTTTTGTTTTCACGAAGTAAAGGCGTGTTTTTTTTTTTTTTTTTTTTTTTACTCAACATTTTTCCAAACAATCTGCTAGCCGAATTACGCTTATATTAGAACTTTTATGGAACAAAAATGCTTAATCATGACGAAGATTAGGTGCGAAATTGGAATTGGAAGAAAGTGCAGAATCACAAACTGCTTGCCGCGTTTTTAAGAATTGCACATACACAGTATCATCCATGTACCGTCAACCTATTTTCACTTAAAAAAACATCCCAGAATTGCACAAAAATGGCATTGCGCATAGTCTTGACTTTATCCATGTACACTACTAAAGTCCTAGCTAGGAACTTTTTCGTTTTTATCGCCTTACCAAAATGTCGCCAAACTACCTGTTACCATATTCCAAAGATTACCCAAGCATTCTTCTAGAGTAATGTAAACTAGCTGAATAATCTGCTTTAACTTTTAATTGCTGTAACATTTAGAGAAGAGAAAAGTGAAATACTACTAATTTCCGAAATTTAAATTATTTAAAATCAGTAAGTTCTTTATTGATACATTAATTTTAGCACCTTAAAATAATTTATGTACAATGAAACTTAAAATATCTTTTCTTTCTCCTTGATCCAGTATTAATTTTTTTCTGAGAGACCACAATATCTTCTGAATAGCATTCCTTTTCCTTTTAAATATTCTTTTGTTTTTTGTATAATATTTCTAAAACAAAATATGCCTTCAGTTATATACTGAATCATAAATGAATCTGAGGATAGCCTGGATTAATGTGAAGATAAAGGAGATAAACAAGTAATTTTTCACAACCCCAAAATGACAAGAATTGTTGAAAATGAGTAAAACACAAATAGTTGGTACAAGTAAAAAAAGTTTTTTCTGGTTGAAATTCAAGGGAAAAATATTCATTTTAAGTAATGAAAGATAATTTGTATTGGTACTTACATTTTATCCCATCAATTGTGAAACTGTTGCCAAACAGCATGATTTGGTTCCATTTATGGGCAAGTGTTTTGTAACAACACCCTTGAAACTTCTGCACTATTGTTTATGTAACCTCTGTTAATTCTCAATAAGCCACCGTTCATTTTTACAAGCTAGGTTATAAATTATTTGTTATTATTGTATATTTTCTTGCATTTTGAAAAAAAAAAAAAAAAAAAGTTAAAAGTTTGGTATTTTCTCTTTGCAGAACAGCAAGCAGTGAATTATTTTTAAAGTTATGAATTGAAAAGGAGTGTGTATTAATAGATATAACATGGTAACTGACATTAAAAGCTGAATATGGCCAACAAAACACTAATAGATTTGGAACAATTATCTGCTGGAATAAAATCAGAGGGCCTAACATAATAGTAGTAATTGATGAAGGCCTTTTTACAAAGCACAATAAAGAAGCATTGGGTCCCTTAGAATTTGGCAGGAATTACTAGTGCCACTGTGGCAAGATCTGTGCCAGCTTTCGTGGTGCAATGTTATTCAATTATTCACAGTCAACAGGATAATTCATAAGTACCTTTATATTTTTCCAGTTTGGAAAAATATATTTCAGGGTACCCCTTGGCAAAAATTGGTAACTTTTTTATGCCATTCTTGTTTACATGCAACGCCCTCCCAAGTAAAATGGCATCCAAAACATAATGCAATAAAACATAATATAAAAAATTATAATCTCAATAAACTACATTTTAAATTAAAATAAAACAAATAAATAACATAAAAATTGAAATACACAATATCTAATGAGCGCAGTATAAAAAAGTAAATATCGACTTACATTATTTAGAAATTTGTGTCTTCTGTGTGTAGCACACAGAATTCCTTATCAGCATTCAAAGACTGTTTAAATTATCTGAAGTAGAATCTGTATACAGTACAAAGTCCATAATCCGGACGTACATTATCCGGAATGATCTATAATCCGGACCTCAAAAGCCGCAACCTCTTTTTGTATGCTTTACGTATGTGTGCAATGTATGCTTTGCGCATGTGCTTAATGTAGGCTTTACGCATGCACGCATTGAAAGAAATGTTTAATAAACAAATAAATATTAAGTTTTTTTTTTTTTTTTTTTTTTTTTTTTTTTTGTAAAATTTGATACCCTTTAGATCATAATTGCTCTTTATTTCATAAATTGCGGTTTCATATTTTTAATTGTATAATTTCTGCATGCCATCTTACCAGGTTTAAATTGATGATCTATAATCCGGAATTGCCGAAGTCCCAACGAGTCCGTATTACGGACTTTGTACTGTACTTCCATTGCCACATAAATTCACAAACATAAGAATCAAAAATATGCTCCGTAGTGCCGGATTGTCAGTGGCATTTCTTTTGAAAATCCCTTATTATTACACCCCACATACCTTGTTGTTTGTTGTTATGAGCTCCAGTTTAGTTGATATGAACTCTGGTTTCTGAATCCTTAAATGACACCGCTGAATTTACTGAGAGGCGAACGAAGCCATTATCAAAAAAACAATTGTACGACTTCCAGCAATCGAATGTGATCATTTTTTCAGGTAATATTCCATTGAATTATAATTAAACATTCATTTATGCACCAGTCAATCAATGCTTTCTTTTCCATTTGTTCCAAATCAAATAGAACTTCAGGTTATTCTTATTACCGGCAGCCATTTTATGGTGTAAATCACAAAATAAGTAACGTACTTCCTAACTGACATCCAGTGCAAAAATAAGCTCTTACAAATATTTTCTCATCGGTCAAATTCACTGAAATCATGCAACCAATCATGTCATAATATGGTTTCCATAACATTCAACTACTCAAGTTACCATAAATGAAAAACAGTTTGGTGATAATCCAAGGTGCACAAGAAAATATAGACTAACCAAAGCAAATAAGCTATTGTAATTAGTTAAAATTTAGTATCATTTTGTGTATTTTATATTTCTTCCATGGTAAGAATTTTTTCTCATGTAATTTACTCAGAATATTCAAATATGTATCAGTTTTCTCTATAAAATTCACTTCACACAAAATTTTCTTCTGTGAACTTTTTCAAAACCATTTGTGGCTTTGTTCTGTTAGAATTGGCAGGGGTAATTTTTCTTTCTTATTTTCAACCTTGCATCTCTGGAAAGGTTTAAGAAGAATATGATGGCTAGATTTATAGACCTACGATTCTAAAAGTTCCAGAATAATGTGACAAAATGGAAAAATTTCTTCATGGTATTGACATGTAATAGAAGTACTTTGCAGAAAGTTTGTGATGAATTTATTTTTTAGAGAATTTTTGAAAGAACAATAGTAACATAATTATTTGAATTTTCTATTCTTGATCCTAAACATGTCCTTCTTAACATGTGTATCATCCCTTTACTTTCTCTTCATTTCACTAGACACAAGCACAGAAAATTTCAAAAAGTTTTCTAATGTTGTCACATGGACTGGCATGTGTAGAAAGAATTTTTTTTTAATTTTAACTGACAGTTTAAAAAATTAATTTTGTGTGTCTCAGTGCACCACACATAGGGATAGTGCTCACCTGATACAATCTCTGTGGGTCCTAAATTTTTCTGCCCAGTGCCTGTGCTAAAATTTTGCCATCCATAGATTGTGTTGCTCGGTGCTTCACTAAATTGCAAAAATTCTGCCACATTTTCTCTAGCATTGTCCCTGACCATATATCATTTCATATTTGTTCTCAATACTCATATTACTAAAGAAATAAAACCAGAAGTTTCTTCTATATATTCTAAATACATATAGATATTTTTTTTTGGGGGGGGGTTAAGAAAAAGAATAATAGAAATTTTTCATTAAATCTGAAAAATTCCTAAATGAAGAGGAAACTTATTCAGGAAGAATTGATTACATAAAAGAAAATAATTTAAATAATAAAAAGGTACATTTAAGAAATGAAGACTAGTGAGAACATTGGTTTCAATGTTTTGTAACTTTTAATGAATAATTATCTTAATATCATTTTAGAATCAGTGTCATAAATTATATTATGTAATTATTGTTTATTTTAAACTGCATAATGGCAGCTTAACCTCTGGTGTTTTAATGGCTAATTGAAACCCTACAGTATATTAAGTGGATTACAACTCCAGTAACTTTATGCAAAGCTGTGACACTAACTGGTTCAGAGGAACAAATATCTTTCAATGCTTATCGACCATGTTGTGAAGCATTCAGATCTTTTCTGTTCACCAGGTCTCTGTCTCTCTCTAGGCAAGCAGCAGTGGTGAAGTACTCAGGCTCCTGTTACGAATCATACCAATTATGATTTTATTTCTCATTTTAGCCTGTGCTGCTTGATATAAAATATTCCTGCTAGTTACTAAACCTCTGGACTGAGTAAGTACAGAACAAAATGAGGCATAAACGAAGACTCAACATAAAGCTAAGTATTAGTAAAGCATAAATAAAAGTGCAACAAATACTCATTAAAATGTGGGTCTATTATAAATGTAAACTATAAATGTTTCAGGAAAATTTTGTAACTTAATGCTAATTACTTGGTAAGTTTTACAAAGTTGATTTTATTGTCGAATTTGTTTTATAATTATGTTAAATATTAGATTTTGTTTAATAATAATGTGTGGCCTACTTATGGATTTGTTTTATTCTTAGAATAGTACGATAAAAGTAGTTTGGGCACATAATATTGCTTTAATTTTATTCAGTTCTCATTTCCTGATAGGTCCTTAATTTTTTTCATTGATGGTCCTTAAAATTACTTAACTTCCATGTGCAAAAATGTGTATAAATCCTGGAAAACTGGCAGATTACATTTTAATTACTCTACTAATTATATGATTCCTGAATTTCTTGTAGTGTAATCAGAGAGCTGAACTGTATTCTTGGGGTAAAGCAGACTTCACTCAGACTACCTCTCTGAAATCTCACACTCGTGCCATTAGGTTGAGTTTTTTTATAAATTAATACCTTTAAAATGACTATTTATTTAAAATTTTAGTATGAGTTATACTATGTGCATTAAATTTATTAATGTTAACTTTTCAGTGATCTAAACTGGTCCATTTTCGACAGCCATGTTCTAGCCACAGCCTCTATAGATACTTTTATTTATCTCTGGGATATCAGGTGAATATTTAGAGCAATTTACAAAAAAACTGTCTCATAAGATAATGTTATTTTCATGCTTGATATTTAGTAACAAAACTGCTAATTTTTTCAATAGCTTTTTTTATTCCAAAATTTCAGTTTTTAGTGTGCTGTTGTAGTCATATAATTCCAGCTCCAACTTTCTTTTTTAATAAATTTTTATTTCTTTGAGTAGGAACTTGATAATTTTCTTGCCATTTACCATATATGATTTTACACTAGCATTGAGTGTGGTTTATCATCTAAAAATAAGTTTTTGAAAAGTTTTTAATGTTGTTTTTAGAATGAACAAATATGATGCTGTTGATAAAACTTGTTGTGATATGCAATATTAATATTTGCATATTTTTCCTGTTCATGCAATGAATTCGTAATGTTGACTATCACACTAATTTCTAAATAATTTCTATCACTCGTGCATAGTAATATATATACCTTTTGTGTGTGTGTTTGTTAGGTATGCAAATTAATTCTTGGCCTTTTCATGAATTTATATCTGTACAAAACTTCAAAATGCATTATAGGTTGAAAATATTCTCCGAGATTAATCTTCAGTTGGTGATACACAGTTGAGCCTAAAAAATTAAAATTAAATAATGAAATTAAAATAAAAGTTATAATTTCTTAGAAATGGCAATAATCTTCTGTTTAGACTAATTTCAAAATTAATGGACTTAAATTTGGTGACTTTTCTAGATGAATTGTCTATAAAAATTGAAGGTTACCACATCCAGAATAATGTATCGGCATTGAGTGAATTGAGCATATGTTGATCTAAGGTTATGGGCAAAAAATAGTGTGAATATCTAAACTAAATGCTGAAAAAATGCTAGTTCTGATTCATAATGTAAAGGACATACTAGCACACAAATAGTAAAGAGCATAAAGCACAATTAATAAAGTGGTGGAAGGACTGTAAAAAGGCAAACATGCATGCGGGGGGGGGGAACAGAGGATTTCCAGAAATGCTATTATAAAAAATGGAAGAACAAAAGTGTTGAAACTGTGCAAAAAGAAAATTTAGAGAGCAGGGCAAAAACACCTGGTGGGTAAATCCTAAGGGGACGAATTACTAGAAGAAATGAACTGGGAAATTGTGTGAAATGTTTAGAAATTTCACCCAAACATTCAGGTATTTGGGTATTTGCTGTGTATTTTAGAGATCTTGGGTTAAAAAATTAATATTTGGGTTAACACACTATAGTAATAAACTTCAGCTGAGTTCCAATCTGATTCATATCTACAATTTCAAGGAATTTTAATAAGCTGAGAACTCCACTGACCTTTTCTCAAAATGATTTACTGCTTCTTGTGAGCAGTTCGTGTCAATTTTTTGACCCTCCTTGTCACAGCCTAAAAAGTGAAATCCAGTTCATATATATCTTTAGTAGTGCAGTCGTTTCTTCCATAATACTCTAGCATCTATAGTCCCATTTTGCTGAGCCTTTTAAAATTTCTTTAGCACTTGTTTGTCTGGTTCCCACTGATAGATTACTAAGAATTTCAGCCATGACTCTGATTCTTGTGAGCATTTGATAGCCCTGAAAGCTATTCTGGATTCTTCTTCAAATGTCAATTTTTATTACTTTTTCTTTCCTTATTGATGTTCTCTTTCTTTTTGCAGGAGGCTAATTGAGGATAGCAATGGCTTCCGTTTTTTTTTTTTTCAGTCTCAACTTTGATGCACAGAAAGTGCTCAGTTGTCTGCATCCAAACAACGAAGCATGTGTGGGGATCAGCAAAATGAAGGAATAAAAAAACATTGTGATATAGCTTGTCATCACTTATTAGCAATATATTTGATGATATTTTGAATACAGTTGCCCAGACAATCCCATCATAAACCAATCACATAAAGATCAGAATTCATTTCAAAAGGCTCCAACACATTGTATTGTGTCAGGAGTTAATTGTTAACTGACAAGTATCATTGTATCATTTATTTATCTAATTCCCCCCCCTTAATATGAGAACAAAAAATTATTTGCTAGAAAAATTTGATAAAACTTTGTAATATGTAAAATAATCTTTTTAACTTGCTAAGAAAATAAATAGCCTTATAGTTATGAATAATTTTTATAGAGACTCAAGAAAACCATCCATTTCTCTTTCAGCTGTTGGTGAGTATCATTTGTATTTCCTCATTTGAAATTGCTAATTCAGCTAAAATTCAGTTTATTTAAATCTATTAAAGTGCGCAATTTTCTTTTTTAATGATGATTTTTAATATCTTCTCAATAAAGCGGGTGCTTCTCAAGTGAAATGGAATAAATTGCAATCTCATATGCTTGCAACGTCACATGAAGGAGATATCAGACTGTGGGATACTAGGGTAATAATCTATAATGCTGGATTATAAAATTTTAAATACAACATTAAATTGTAAAGGAATTTTGACTTATTTTAAATATATTGACTCAGTTTAAACGTAAAATTTCTTTGATGTATTAAAATACATCAAAGAAATTTCATAAATAGAGAATATGTATTAAAATACATCAAAGAAATTTCACGTTTAAACTGAGTCAACATATTTAAAATAAGTCAAAATTCCTTTACAATTACTTTTTTAACATTTCTTTAGGCTAAAATTGCATTTATAGCTTAAGGAATTTCTTTTTCACAGAAAGGAACAAGTCCTGTACAGTATATAACTGCTCATTTGCTAAAAATCCATAATATTGATTGGTGCCCGCATGATGAAAATGTGCTTGCAACATCTAGTCAAGATTGTACAGTTAAAGTTAGTTCATAGTTGTCACATTTTACAAAAGTTATAGAATTTATTTTCATCTAAAACTTGATTTAAATTATTTTTGATAAATTTAAATGAATATATCTGTTTAATTTGCAGTTTTGGGATGTTACTATTCCACAGAAAATGGATTATAGTTTGCAAGTTCCTTGCCCAGTTTGGCGAGCTCAATATACAGTAAGTTAAACAAATTCTGATGCTACTTCTCTTTGTTTTCCTTACAAAGAGTACATTCATGTGGCAATCAATTCTGTATGAATAAAACATATTTTTGCATCTTGAAATGTTATACGTTGCCTTTGATAACTGCTGTAATTGTTCAAAGAAATCTTACATTTCACAAGTTTTTATGCACTCCTAGAAAAGTATTTTATTTTTAAAAAATGACTCTTTAAAAAGGGTTTGTGATAAAGCTTATCTGAACATGATTTTTTTTAAATTATTGTGAATTTATTTATATTGTAATGTATTTTGCAGTTTTTATCAAAATAACAGATGAACTTTTTTGTAAAACATAAAATTTTATTCTCAATTCACAAATATACACTCATGTCCATAAATTAAGTATAATGCAAAATCAGGCAAAGGAAGAGTTAGAAGCAAAATAAATTTGACTTATTTAAAAAACTTGTTTATTAAACAAAAGGTAAAGAGCAAAAAAAAAGATGCTATATGTTTGATATTATTAAAAAAAAATTAGTGATTTTGTCTCCCTGGAGCAAATTACAAAAAACCAATATTACATGATTGGTATGATTGTTAATACATTGTATGTCTTCCAGACGATGCAATACAGTCCTTACAACACCTAGGCATGCTGAATATCAAATTATTGATCTGATCTTGGGGGATATTACACCACTCAAAAAGCATTGCTCTCCGAAGTTCCGGTAGACATGTAGGAGGAGGTTGACGGGCTGCAACTCGTCGGCCAACCTTGTCCCACACGTGCTCTACTGGATTCAAGTCCGGTGAGAATGCTGGCCAGTCCATACGGGTGATATCCTCCGATTGAAGGCATTCACTTACGATGTTTGGATGGTGAGAACGGGCATTGTCATCCATAACACAAATTGTGCACCCACGGCGCCCCAAAACAAACGTATATGTTGTTCCAGAATGACGTTCCGATAGATTTGGCTTTTCATGGTTCCAATTTGAACATGCAGGTCAGTTCTGGAACCCAGAATAATTCCATCCCAAACGAGCACTCCTGCACCACCGTAACGGTGTCGTTCAATGATGTTTTCTTGGTGGTAACAGGTACCCGGAGCTCTCCATATGAAAGTCCGGGGAGAATCAGACTGCACACTAAACCTGGACTCGTCGGAAAACATCACACAAGCTCACTGTTGCGGTGTCCACAATGCATGCTCTCTACTCCAGGCTAACTGCAGGCGACAGTGAGTTGCAGTAAGTGGAACGCATCTGACAGGTCTACGAGCATATAGACCAATCTGCCCTAAGTGTCTGTACACGGTCTGCCTTGAAATTGTCGTACCAGTGGCTGACGAGACAGGTCTAAGGCTGTGCTCCGCCTGTTTCTTTTGGCAGTAACTGCCAAAAACCAGTCCTCATTCGGCGTTGTAACTCACACAGTTGCACAGTGTTGTGCACAGGGGCGACGTGTGCTGTAATGTCTACTCACATTACCATCATCTTGGAATCGTTGCCAAAGCCTGGAGATGACACTCTGGCCAATTCCAAGTTCGTCTGATACTTCCAATTGGGTACGCCCACATTCCAGATGGCCGATAATTCTACCACGTTAAAAATCATCCAAATGCGTCCTTTGTGTCATAACTTTTTGGTTATTGCACTGAAATGCTTATAAAGTGCCTGCGAACAATTTTACTTCTTTGCCTGTATTCCTTATATATCACTCTCTTACACTCTCGTGATTGTGACGTACCATCGGTGTCATCTGGTTACTTCCTGAAATTTGCATATGATTCTTAAAGATGTGTGTAGTGATTTTACAGGTGATATATTTATTTTAGAGTTCGATTTCCGCGTGACTCTGAATATCCTTAATTTATGGACATGAGTGTAGATAATTTGAATTCAATTCTATATCGCCGTTTCAGCATTCTAAGACATCAAAATTCTCGCTGTTCCTATGGATTCAACCATCTGCGTTCTCCACCTTCAATATTACAAAGTCCCTTTTTTATTAAATGCCGGAATTTCCATGTCATGGAGAAAAATAAAAATTGCCCCAAAATGGTATCACATTACAGAATTGTAATGAAAGAAGGGCCTTAAAGTTACTCTTTCCTGATCTTAAAAGCTGAAAAGTAAACAATCTCATGAAATTGCTGACATTTTTATTGGCTGCATAAAAGCTAATTAGCATAATGGTTGAGTGTTCAGGTAGAAAAATTTCGCTACGGTAACAGCGGAAGAAATATTGAAATTTTTATTTGCAGATTTAGAAGCAATTAACGATAAAATAAAGCAACGATATTTGTTGAAATTAAAAATGAAATAACGAAAAAAAAAAGCAATAAATATAAATTCCTGAAAAATCAGTGAACCTTAAGAATGAACCTTAAATATGCATCTTACCTTAAAAGTTTTCAGGTAAGATGCATATTTAAGGTTCATTCCAAAAAATTACTATATAGGAAAAAGAATGTTTAGAAGTAGCTAAAAAACGTTAAAAATGCTCAGAAAATTCCTTGATGGGCAGAAAAGTTGGGGGTTATGACGAAATTCGTCAAGAAGTTGTTAAGAAAAACTGGCGAAAGGACGAATAACCTGAAACAAATAAAAAATGAGTTGACTGCGTCCAATTAAAACCTCCTACTTCAACCAAAATGAGCGCAATTTTTATGTTGCTCATTAATAATTTAATATCGAAAAGAAAACCCGAATAGGCAAATTTATTCTCGATTTTTTTTTTAAAAATTATTTAAAAATAACTAGAAAATCTCAAAAATTAAATTTCTGTGTGCAGTAATTTAGGATTATGTGCACTTGAATATTTTATTAATTATATAATATTTAAAATCAAATAAATTTAATGCGTTTTAAGACTTTCTCGGCTATTAGTTTTTATACATGATATTAATCTAATGAAACATTAGATTTTTAAATACTTGAAATATTTTATTATCTAAAAGCTAAACTAAACTCAGCGACACAAACAGCCCTCAGAGCCTTGGCTGGCAGTGCCCTGATATCTGTTTTCAAGACCGTGGGCCCCGGGGTGCATGAGCATATGCCCCAGATAAGTGGTTAGCTTGTAGCAAGACCCGCGGTGTTTAGTCCCCAGGCGAACATGGTACTAATTTTATAAAAGGCTGAGTGCACCTTGCCCAGCCCGGGGATCGGTCCCCGGACCTGCGGTGGTGCTGCGCGACGCGCTAGTCACTGCGCCACCGGGCATTTTATTATCTACTGTAATTAAATAAATATGTAATAATAATTTCAGTTAAAAAATAAAAAGGAAAATTAAAGCACAGTATATAGTAATAATCTTATATTTGAATTTTTAGGTATTTACATACTATTCCCTCGACTATGAAATTGTCGCCATCCAGGGCGATTTAGCTGTAATTATAGATAAGAGTAGTGTACCAAGGTACTCATAACATCTACTGAGATGTAATTTGGACTGATTCTGGATAAGATACCTTTTGTCTTCATGAACAAAGATATAAACTAACTGTTATTGCTATAACCCTGCATTTTGAAAAAAAAAAAAAAATAATAATTTGGAACTTTAGTTTCTACAGAACAGCAAGCAATGGATTATTTTTTAAATTATGAGAATCTACCATCGAAAAAGGTGTGTATTAATGGACACCAAATAGTCACCTGAGTAGGGCCGACAAAGCAGTAATTGATTGAACAATTACGTACGGGAAGTTTGTACTTACAGCGCTCTAAACAGAGCTTTCGGCAAAATAGTAGAAATCGATAAAAGCATTTCTATCAAGCAGAAAAAACAAAGTGTGATGAATACTGGTTGTTTATTAAATAAAGAGACGTCAGTTCCTTCAAAATTCCACAAGAATGATTGGCGCCAGCTGCTCATTTTTGATAATTTTCGTAGTTTGATAGAATAATACGTTAAGTCGCAGTTTTTAATATCCATAAGTAATATTTCAAATTAAATTTATTTCTATACAGTATTGAAAATAAGTGTCTCCAGAAATATAAGGCAAAATTTCTTCTCTGAAGAAATGGAAAAGTCGAGAAATAAAAGAAAGACTAGATTGAAATCTAGAAAACTAGATTGAAATGATGATTTATCTAGATTGAAATGATTATCAACAGTAGTAAACGGTTTAAGTAACATGTCTGCAGAGCCGTGCAAACATTTTTTTTTATCTGATGCAAAAAGGTGAATGCGCGCCCCTATATATATCAAAATAGCTATGTTTGTATTACACAAAAGCGACTGTATTAAATCAAAATAACATAATTCTTAAATCATTTTTAATCGTAGCTTTATAAATTCAGAAAAATAATATAGTTATTTACAACTTTCAAATGAAAATCTTAAAAATTCCTTTTTTGACATCGAAATACACATTGCATTAATTTCCAGGTTTTCTTGGAATTCTTCCTATTGTTTTATTAATTTAAAGTTGCCGAAGCTTATTTCCCCTAATAATAACTGGCAAATTTAAAAGCATAATTAAAGTAATTTTCGAATTCGTATAGCCAATTTGGCGCGCGCAACTTCTAGTGATTCATCTGAGGCAAGCGCCTCACCCTTGTCCCGGCTCTGCATGTATGCCCTGTTATAGATTCTCGGCATACTCCAATTTCATTAAAGAATGCAATGAATAGGATTCTTCTCGTAGAAAAAGCGCCTGCGCTTTAAATTCTCTAACATAAACAACTCTCACTATTTTTAAAATCTTGGGATTTTCAATTCGTACTGTCAGTGAACCTTAACAAATCACAAAAAAATTTCACAAATTTTGCCAAAAACAATATCTATTTTGCAAATATTTAACATTCCTAACACCCCGTTCCCTTATACTCCGGATAATGTAAATAAGTTTGCCAGTTTTTAAGAAATGTTGTTTTAGGAATGAATGCAGATTTATATAGAAAAATGAAATTTAACTTTAATTAAAACTTTATTTAAATAAAATTAACATGCGACTTTGAAGCTAAAAGCAAGTAGTAAATTATAAATGAAAATGAAAAATGAAAGCAATTGAACTTAAACTAAAACTGTGACGCGTTTACATTAAATCCAACATTTAATTCATTCTAGCGTGCTCTATGAACAAAATCACGCAAGCAGCAAGAAA